TGGATTAAAAAAAAAAAAAAGATGAAACAGTTCTTGGGACCCAGAATGAGAATTCTGTTTCTGGGGCTCTAGGAGAGTCAATACTATTGACTATAATTTAATACACCATACACTACCCTCAGGCAGAATTGACTTTGAAGTAGTTCTCCACCCCAATGGTGACCACTTCCCATTACATGGTTACTTTTTCTTAAACCCCACCCATTAAACAGTCTCAGAATGATCTGATAGGGTATACACATGTCCACAACACCCATATTAGGTGGTCCAAAGTGAGTGCCATGGCAATTTCCCAGCTGCTAATCTCCCCTGAAGTGTCATTGCTTAAACAGTCCATTGTACTAGCAAAGGATGTTCATGAACCCCTATAAACCTGCTGTCAATGACTCAAGCTTTCACAAGATCAACTTAAATATAGTTCTATTCCTGTAAGAAGAAACTTCACAGATACCCTTGGAACTCCTGGTTCAAAAAAGAATGTGACCTAGCCAGAACCAACTTAGTGATTGTCTTTAGCACCAATGAACCACAAAATCACATCTGCTGTTAATGCCCTAACCCTAACCTCCTTTTAACACATGTTAATGGAATTGTTCAGACCCTTTCCAAATGTGAATTTTATATCCCACTCCCCCCTTCCAAATCAGAAACTAATTTCCATACTCCTCTGTGCTGATGACACAGGTCTTCTCTCCCTCACCCAAACTGAACTCCTCCTTAGCCTTTGGGCTTCATTTAAACACTACCAAGCTGAGGGACTGGAAATAAATGATTCAAAAATGAAGGTATTGCTTTTCATCCAGTGACACTATCAGCATACTGTTATCAGTAGCTACCCTATAGAGCAAGTAAAGTTGTTTAAATATCAAGGCATCTATTTCTAGCCATCCACTTCTTGGATTCTACAACCCAAGAGGTCACAGCTCAAGCTCACAAAAGCACCGGTACAGTCATTGAATTTGTAGTGGGAACATATAATTCTCTGCACCATAAAAGTTTTTATTACTAAGGTGCTGAGCCTACTGTTGCTCGGTGCCCTGCTTTGTGCCTACTCTGATGATTCACATTTCGAAACCATACAATTTAAATCCATTAGAACTTTATTAAGCATCTCCCACTCCAAATGTGCTTCTTCAGGGAGAACTTGGCTACCACTCTATCGCAGCTCAAATGAGGATTTCTTGCCTGAAATATTGGCTAAGACCTTTTTGGGTGCATCACTATCCCAGCTTGCCTTGGTAGGTTTACATGGATTTACATCCACATGGAAGAAGACCACTGCCAATGATTTGTCCTTTGTCCTCTTTTCTGCCCCATTTCCAATACAATTCAGAACAGACAAAGTCATGCAAGTAGTTAAACAGAGAATCCTTGATTTGGATAAAACAGAATGAGAGGTCTCAAATTTCATCCTACAGTCTCAAGGACCTCTTCCATAAGTATCTCACGTTCCTCAATTATCTCTATAAAATTACTGCTGGTACACCAAGACAAGCGTTCATATTTGCAAGGTTCAATGGTTCACCCTCAGTGCTGACAGAAGGGAGATATAATCTCGTCCCTTATGCAGAATGTTTCTGCAGCTGTTCCAACTCCACCATTGAATCAATAAGTTATTGTTTTCTTTATTGCCCTGTGCTTGGCATGTAGAGCTCATAAACTCACTCCTTACCCACCATGCATGCTGGTCTGAAATTAAAGTTCTACTTTTTTACTTGCTGGCTTCCCCACTGACTTTTCCAGGAATGCAGTGAATTTTTGATCAATTGCTATTAGAAGACTCTCGCTTTGACTATTACACTGGTTAAGGATGTAGATAGAGAGACAGATGATTTCTGTTCTGTTCTGTTCTGTTCTGAGAGCTGTTAGAGTATTATTGGTAAACTCCTTCTGTGATCTTCTTTTGGTGTATGTGTGTACAGGTAGTCCTTGATTAACAACTGCCCTGTTTAGCAACCGTTTAAAGTTATAGTGGTGCTGAAAAAGCAACTTTACAACCAGTCCTCAAATTTACAACTGTTGCAGTGTCCCACACTTACGTGATTGTCACCTGTGAGCTTCACAGCCAGCTTCCGACAAGCAAAGTCAATGGAGAAGCCAGCAGTAAAACCGCAAGTTGTGGTCATGTGATGTCTCGCTTAACAACCCATGGTGATTCGCTTAACAACCACAGTGGAACTTCTATTGTAAGTTCAGTGCAGTCATGTGATGTTTTATTTAATGACCATGTTGCTTAGCAACGGAGTTGCTGGTCCCAATTGTGATTGTTAAGTCAGGACTACCTTTACTGTATTTTTGGCTTCAGGCTATAAATGAATAAGCTAAGCAAGCTATTCACCAACTCCTCAAATCCTCCCATTCCCCTCCACCCCCAGTTTCGGTAAGCAAGCCACAACAGCAACCAGATTCAGGATCATAGCCCTTAGTATAAAACTTTCTGCATTTCTCTTTCTTTCATTACCTAAAAACCTCAAACGCTTTCTTCTTCCACCCCCTCTTCTCCCACACTGTGATTTTCAACCACACTTGGGGATAAGCAGCTCAGTTTCTTCTTTTTGTCAAAGGGTCTTTCCCAGCCACTGAGTTAAAGCACTGTCCTCACGTTCTTGTCTCAGCACAAAGCTACATCAGCCTGAACGTTGTTGACCTGTCGCTAATCTCTATTCCACCTCTCTGTGCTTCCATTCTGACTCACGGCTGAATCGTGTTGTTCTGATTTAGTGTGTCCAAAGCTCACAAGAGGCAAAGGAATGGATTGATGCCTCTGGCTTTGCTGTTCTCCATCTTTAGCAAAGCTAGTGGGAAAATCTTTTGCCCATCATTGGCACTGCAGGAGTGGGGCAGGTCTAACTGCAGGACCCCACATCCTATTTGGTCATAATTCAAAATGAGTAAAGTCAAAAACAAAAACAGATCTGCATCACAAAGGCATCTGAGTCATGAGCACTGTTTCTCCTTAGGCACTTTTCCCCTTTCAACTCTAATGTTACTTCAGGATTGTACTGGAACAGTAAGAGCCATCAAATTAAAGTCCTCTGAACAGCCTAATGCTGCTGTGCAAATATGATAGACCACAGTTTGAATTGTTTTGACTGCTGGTTGCTCCCACCAATTTGTGGGAAATGGCAACATCCAAGTATCATATAGTGCTATACACCTACTCTTCGTTTAATGACTGAGTTCTGTTACAACAACCAGGTTATTAAGTAACATGGTCACTAAGTGAATACATGACTGAGAAAAAGAGAGAGAGAGAGAGAGACTGATCACTGGTTGCTGCCATCTGATTCAGATCAAGTTCTCATACAGCTATGCCAGCATTAGTCTCACTCTGGTGTGCATTGTTGTCAGGTGTACAACATTTGGTCATAAATGCACACATTGATCAGAAAATGAATTTTTTATTACTGTTGTATTTGTGAATGGTCGCTACCCAAGGTAATTGCTAAACTAGGAGTGGGGGTACAAGCCAGCATGCGCTTGTGGCAGGGAACCATTTGTGTACAGTTTCCAAAGGAAGGCAAAGGGAAGTCCTGTGTGAAAATATACTACTGTATTGCTCTTCCACAAATCTGAAGGACCACTGGCACAGCACTGTTCTGTTTGACTTTTTCGGGAGACGATGGGAAAATAGCGGCAGAAGAGACTACCCAGGAAGCGAATGGGAGGGAAGGGTGTCCACATCAGCCTGAATTGACCAATAAATGCTTCCCTGATCCCTGAATTGACCAATAAATGCTTCCCTGCTGGCCACCTGACTTTGCCTCCAGCATAATGGCAAACAGATGGCATAGCATAATGACCCAACAGATTTTACACGCCTTGTGGCTGTTGTTGAATATTGTCATGGAAAATGGGGCTCAAGTCCATCCCCAGCCATGGAAGCTTGCAAGGTGACTTTAAGCCAGTCACTTCCCCTCAAAGCAACCTACCTCACAGAGTTGTTGTTGTGGAGGAAAATGGGTGGGATATCATTCCAGCAACTAAATAAATAACTGTTGGAGCTTCTTTAGGGAAGTGCTGCTGGCCAAAGTATCCCTTTTCTCATATTTATAATACAGAAATTAATCAGAGAGGCTGGGAAAGCACCACACACCCACCACACCCACACCCAAGATTAAGTCATCCAACCTTACCCACAGGGTAAGGCTTACCTCAGTCCAGTGAGCCAATACACCTTGAAAATGCTGTGCTGAGACCCACATTCCAGCAGGCGCTTCAGCTGGGACTGGCTATAGTTTAAGTCAGGGTTTCTCAACCTTGGCAACTTTAAGCTGGCTGGGGAATTCTGGGAGTTGAAGTCCACACATCTTAAAGTTGCCAAGGTTGAGAAACCCTGGTTTAGAGTCTTCAGAGATGTTAATTTTCAGATCTTGCTTGTTCTGAACTGCATCGTTTAGGGAGAGGAGGCTATGCCTTCTAAGAAATATGTCTGTCATTCTGCTTGAAATCACTTTGTGGCAAGAGCATCCAAAAGAGAAAAAATGTAGGGGCAGTGAAGGACTCAGAAGGGACAAAGTACATTCCAGGGTGGATCGGCTTTGTCCTGTGTGTTTTATTAAGGAAAAAAATTGGACTCATGGGGGGCATGCTCTACTTCCTCCTCTTGGTCCCTCTCCTTTCTATATATTTTCAGATTTTTTTCCAGATTAAAAAAAGCTCCCAAAGCACAAGGTGTGTATGAATTTAAAACTAAATACATCCTGTTGCCATACATCATGGAGGCTATTTCTCTAGTGCACATCACCACAAGAGTGTAACTTGCAATAATCTGTTCAGCATTCAAGGGGGTAAATTCTTCTTATCAGTTGCACCAGAGGACTTCTCTGGTAGAGCAGGAAACATCTGAGGGTATTCAAACCCTTCTTCCAAGTTCTGCTTCAGTGTTTACTTTACAGGTGGAAAAACCATGGTTAAATCTCTGGCACCAAGGGCAATATATCATATGGGCTTTACATGCTTGCATGTTGTCAGCCGAGAATAAAAAGGCGGTCCCTATATACAGCTTTTCATCTATGCTCGTTCAGAGCTTCTCTTCCCTGACAAACTGCCGCTCGCGCTTCCTCTCTGCGATCTGCCCGTGAAAGACCATGGACAGGGGTGAGTATGAAAGTTACCTTTTCTGAAAGTTCAGCTCCTGAATAAGTTCTTAAAGTCAAAGGGATAATTGCCACAAGTGTCTCTGGTCATGTGCAGAGTGAAACCACCACAGAATAACTGCTTAGTTCTGCTCACATAAATCAGAAGGACAGACAAGGTCCTGTACTGTGGCTTCTCTCAGCTTCTTTAAGGCTGTGAGATTTCAAATGATAAAATAGAGGAGCAGATCCCCATCTATGTAATGTGTACCTATTATAATCAAATGTTTTCCTTTAAAGAGTAGCTCTGTTCCACAAAAAGAGGAACACATGCTTAATTTTTAAAATAAGACATTCCTTTCTGTATCAGGATGACTGTTCACTAATGAGCGAGATATCCTCATTTATATGCACGCAACACATTTCACAAGTCTTAGGATTTCATTTTCAATTAGAAACAAAACATTGCAAACTGCAAAGCAATTTTTTAAAGAAACTACCAATCTACATTATGACTGCACTGCTGTCTATACATTAAGGTATTTAGTATTTTAACTTTTATTGTTCTATTTTGCTCTGTTTTCAGATCGCTTCACTTATTGCATTGTAATGCGCCTTGTATTTTATTACTTTTATTATACATATTATATGGTTGAGAGTTATTTAATGCTAATTAAATTTTAAATTTGATTATAGTCATATAGCTATTTGAAGATGTTTATAGTTCCCATGTTATTCATTTCTGATTTTATAATTCATTTGTATAGCTTTTGCGCATAGCTCGCTCCTTATATTTATTGTTTCTATATTTATTTATTTTAAAGATGTATATGACTGCCCATCTTATACAGCATAGCTCTGGGCAGCTCAAAACATACAAAAATAACAAAAACAGAGAAAAAAATAAAATCATTTCATACAACCAAGGTCCATAACATTTCTATCCCAAATACAAATGCACTGGGCTCAATTCCCATACTAGCCAAATGCTTGGGGGAAGAGCTAGTCAGAGATCAGAATAAAGATATTAAATTGAAAAATAAGGAATTCAGACAAGATGTTTTAGGAAAATAGCTCCAGAGCTGAAATATGCCCGAAAAGCCAATTTAGAGCTTTTGTATTTCAATTTACTTGTTTTCGGTTTTGAGCTCTCTTCAGTGGGGCTGCTTTGGACAGACAAAGCTGCTTTCGTGAACCTAAGTTAGATAATAGCCAGGTCTAGCCCCTGAACCAATTTTGGCTTTTCAGAAGCAAATCTGGAGTTAAGGGGTCATGCGGAGGGAGGGGGACAACTGTTCTTATGGGGTCTGCAAGTCAGCAGTACACTTGGTAGGGGTGGCAAGGCTCCTATCCACCACTTTTCAACCCCTAGTCAGTGAATCAGCTTGATGGCCAATGCATTAGAATCAATTATCTAAGAAAGTAGAAATCTCCAACCACACCCAAATGATTGCTATTACTTTGCACATGACCCATCATGGACTTAAGAAAAGGGAGTACAAAATAACCTAGGTCACTCTTCCCCTCCTGGTGCCCTCCAGCTGGGTTGGCCCAAGTTTCTGGGAATTGTAGCCCAGCCTATCTAGAAGACACCAGGCTGTGGAAATCTTGGTAATCCATTTTGCATTTGTTTTAGGCTTAGGTTGCCCAGTAAGTATGCAGCGATGCTTCTTTTTCTTTCTAACGAGAAGGCTTGTGATGCATCTGTTGTGTTTTCTCTCCTCCTCTAGATCAACAACTGAAAGCTGCCTTATTTTGGAAGCTCCCTCTCCTTTTCCAGGTACAAAGTTGATGAAAATACGGTGTATCTTCTGACTCCAGCCCTTCAGTTGCTCATTGCTGTTGCTGTTGCTGTTGGGAGGGAAGGAGGCTAAAAATCCCCCTTCAACTCTTTATGTTCCTTACCCATCCTTTTGTTTGTGTGCCGTGTATTATAAATCTGATGATGGGGAATAGATTGGGAGGTGGGGGTGAGGGGTATCCATAGTGCTAACTCATCATGGCTTAGTACAGGTAGTCCCTGGTTAAGAACGCCCAGTTTACAGATGACTCATAGTTAAGAATGGAGCCTACTGTAGCAAAATTCAAGTTAAATACACAATGCTTTGAGTTAAATACACAATGCTTCAAGTTAATTGCACAATGGCTGGTGTGGGTCTTCCGGGCTGTGTGGCCGTGTTCTGGAAGTTTTGTTTCC